GAAAAACGGGTATCGGTGGCCCCGTTTGCCCCACGGCAGTCTGGGAGACAGTTTTGTAAATAAATAGAGCGAAGGGAGGCAGGTAAATAAATAAATAAAGGCGCAATGACAACAGCAATGCGCGCGCGGCCCCGTTCTGCCCCGCGAGCGGCGTTTCGTGCTCAGTTAATTGGTATGGACGGGTCGTGTGCACAGCGGGGAGATGGGTGGTGGGGGTTGTGGTGAGGTGAGTGCTGGCGCTGACGCAGGCGTCACGGCAAAGACCCATTACTCATCCGCGCCGCATCCGATCGTGGAGCTGCACCGCTGAGCCGAGGCGGCGTCGGGAACGCCGTCGACCCCACAAGCCCACCTCAATCCGTCCACGCAACAGCCCCAGCGGCAAATCTCCGAAGTTCACCAAAATCGCTACTCGATCCTCATCCCTGCCGGCCGGGTGGCTCAGCGGTAGAGCGAGCCGCTCGCAATCAGAAGGTTGAGAGTTCAAATCCTGGTTGGGGGTCGATAAAATTGCTACCGCTTTGTGGGAGAAGTCAACAGTGGTTGTCTTCCTACGGAATTTTTTTTTATTTTACCAGATAAGGCCCACTGAGCTATGTACAGTGAGGGAAAAAAGTATTTGATCTGCTGATTTTGTACGTTTGCCCACTGACGAAGAAATGATCAGTCTATAATTTTAATGGTAGGTTTATTTGAACAGTGAGAGACAGAATAACAACAAAAAATCCAGAAAAACGCATGTCAAAAATGTTATAAATGTGATTTGCATTTTAATGAGGGAAATAAGTATTTGACCCCCTCTCAATCAGAAAGATTTCTGGCTCCCAAGTGTCTTATATACAGGTAACGAGCTGAGATTAGGAGCACACTCTTAAAGGGAGTGCTCCTAATCTCAGCTTGTTACCTGTATAAAAGGCACCTGTCCACAGAAGCAATCAATCAGATTCCAAACTCTCCACCATGGCCAAGACCAAAGAGCTCTCCAAGGATGTCAGGGACAAGATTGTAGACCTACACAAGGCTGGAATGGGCTACAAGACCATTGCCAAGCAGCTTGGTGAGAAGGTGACAACAGTTGGTGCGATTATTCGCAAATGGAAGAAACACAAAAGAACTGTCAATCTCCCTCGGCCTGGGGCTCCATGCAAGATCTCACCTCGTGGAGTGGCAATGATCATGAGAACGGTGAGGAATCAGCCCAGAACTACACAGGAGGATCTTTGTCAATGATCTCAAGGCAGCCGGGACCATAGTTACCAATAAAAAAATGGTAACACACTACGCCATGAAGGACTGAAATCCTACAGCGCCCGCAAGGTCCCCCTGCTCAAGAAAGCACATATACATGCCCGTCTGAAGTTTGCCAATGAACATCTGAATGATTCAGAGGACAACTGGGTGAAAGTGTTGTGGTCAGATGAGACCAAAATATAGCTCTTTGGCATCAACTCAACTCGCCGTGTTTGGAGGAGGAGGAATGCTGCCTATGACCCCAAGAACACCATCCCCACCGTCAAACATGGAGGTGGAAACATTATGCTTTGGGGGTGTTTTTCTGCTAAAGGGACAGGACAACTTCACCGCATCAAAGGGACGATGGATGGGGCCATGTACCATCAAATCTTGGGTGAGAACCTCCTTCCCTCAGCCAGGGCATTGAAAATGGGTCGTGGATGAGTATTCCAGCATGAGAATGACCCAAAACACACGGCCAAGGCAACAAAGGAGTGGCTCAAGAAGAAACACATTAAGGTCCTGGAGTGGCCTAGCCAGGCTCCAGACCTTAATCCCATAGAAAATCTGTGGAGGGAGCTGAAGGTTCGAGTTGCCAAACGTCAGCCTCGAAACCTTAATGACTTGGAGAAGATCTGCAAAGAGGAGTGGGACAAAATCCCTCCTGAGATGTGTGGCCAACTACAAGAAACGTCTGACCTCTGTGATTGCCAACAAGGGTTTTGCCACCAAGTACTAAGTCATGTTTTGCAAAGGGGTCAAATACTCATTTCCCTCATTAAAATGCAAATCAATTTATAACATATTTGACGTGCGTTTTTCTGGATTTTTGTTGTTATTCTGTCTCTCACTGTTCAAATAAACCTACCATTAAAATTATAGACTGATCATTTCTTTGTCAGTGGGCAAACGTACAAAATCAGCAGGGGATCAAATATTTTTTTCCCTCACTGTAGCTCTTTTTCAGAAGCGACCTGGCTATCACAAATGATAGCGCAACGAAGTGGCTTATCACGTGCAAATGTATTGCAGCCCAATACTCTAAATGCACGTTGATTCTAAATGTGGAGGGAAAAACCGGAGGACCCAGATAAAAATCCACACAACCACGGGGAGAACATGCAAACTCCAAATATGTAGGCATCAAGGTCGGGATCGAACCCACGACCTCCTGCATATCAGGTGAGGCCATTAACATCTCGTCACCGCCATAATAATATGGAATTTCCATCACTGAGGACTGTGAACAGGAGAGCAGCGCCAATACCTCAATGCTCATTTTAGCAGGAAACCAATCTGACTTTTATTGTTTAATTTTAGTAAGAAGGCAAAGGCGCAGCTCTGCAATTGCCTGCTCACGTCACTGCTGGCGGTACAGTCTCCACTAGAGGCAGCTCAAGAGAGCCCCTGTAGAGGATATTTGGCCTACTCATCCATGCCAGCCAGATGTCTGATTTGAACGACTGGTCTTAACGATAATATAAAACCACAATTTTGGTAACTACCTGATGATGCAGGTTGGAACTATCAGTGAAACGTCGTACCCAATTGTTTAATCTTGTGTGGATCACTCTCCAATACACCGGTGTTCTGAAGCATTAAATCATTGGCTCATTAGTTAACATGACAACTTTATTAATTGGCTGTGTCGGGTGGATAAGGGTGTACGACACATGTTGTTTACGTGATCCGACCCAAAAATCAATTATTATATTGGTCAAAAAGTTTGACTTACTAAAGATAAGCTATGAATTTTTAAAAATCATATTTCTAAGGCGGAGCTGCTTTGTTTACATTTTTAACTACATCTCGAATTTTATGTATTCCAAGCATTGGGCATTAGGCTAAATTGCACTTTGAGCTAAGCGCTCAGTGATGTATTTGCTGATGCGAACCGTGCCACAAATAAAAACACAATTGCGACCCACCCCACTCGCACTTTCGTGTCAACAAGGGGAAACTTGTCACGCAGCCCGGAGGACAACTGGCAGTGTAATAACACATTCCTGCGGAGGGAGCTGGTAGGAACGTTGGGTTGCTCGGTCAATGGCCAGGGTCAACGGCGGCACCACGTGGTGTATTCCGCAAATATGCCCGACTGTGAGGGCGGGCACAAGCCGGCGTGGGTAGGTTGAACGTTGAGTTTTATAAGGGCACCACGGGGTGACCAGCCCCTCCCCACTCAGCCCCACCCCTCCAACCCAGCCCCACCCTCCCCACCCAGCCCCTCCCCACCCAGCCCCTCCCTACCCTCCCCTCCCCACCCAGCCCCTCCCCACCCTCCCCTCTCCACCCAGCCCCACCCCTCCCATTTTTGGATGCACGACGGACGGACGGACACAATAATCCCCTGTGGGCTGGTGGTGTAATAACCAGGAGGTTCCTACCAGTATCACTATTCATAACAATGGTGAATGACGAGAGGCGCAATGTTGTCACACGTCTAGACAACGAGGGGTTGCGATCGTGGCCGATGTCACGGTCACAATCGGGCCGTCGTCCCCCCCCCCCTGTCCGTAATTCCACAACTCACCCCCCCCCCCCCCGCCGCGTGCGTGAATATTGTCGCATTGTCTCATTCTAACTTGGGCGAAAGCCGCCAGGGCGCGTTAGGTAAACGTCGCGGCCGCAATCCCACGTGCTTTGGTCTCCCCCCCCCCCCAAAGGCGTCAGCGCCATCATCACCACTGTTATATTCTTGTTTCGGTAAAGTCACGTAGAAGGGAAATAATAAAATAATACAAATACCGAAAGAACCAAGAATATGAATCACTGCAGTCACAAAAGCTTTAAATCGAAAAATCACCACTGTTGTTTCTCTGCTGCTGTCATCGCTTGTGCTGTTGTTGTCGTTGCTGTCATTGTTCATGTGTTGTTATTGGTGTCGGTGTATTGTTGTTGTTGTTTGTGTTGTTGTCGCGGGTGTTTCTGCATTATTGTTGTTATTGTTTATGTGCTGTTGTTGTTGCTGGTGTTTCTGCATTATTGTTATTGTTCATGTGCTGTTGTTGTTGCTGGTGTTTCTGTATGATTGTTATTGTTTGTGTTGTTGTCGCTAGTGTTTCTGCATTATTGTTGTTATTGTTTATGTGCTTTTGTTGCTGGTGTTTCTGCATTATTGTTGTTATTGTTTATGTGCTGTTGTTGTTGCTGGTGTTTCTGCATTATTGTTGTTATTGTTTATGTGCTGCTGTTGTTGCTGGTGTTTCTGTATTATTGTTGTTATTGTTTATGTGCTGTTGTTGTTGTTGCTGGTGTTTCTGTATTATTGTTATTGTTTATGTGCTGTTGTTGTTGTTGCTGGTGTTTCTCCATTATTGTTATCGTTTATGTGCTGTTGTTGTTGCTGGTGTTTCTGCATTATTGTTGTTATTGTTTATGTGCTGTTGTTGTTGGTGTTTCTGTATTATTGTTATTGTTTATGTGCTGTTGTTGCTGGTGTTTCTGCATTATTGTTGTTATTGTTTATGTGCTGCTGTTGTTGCTGGTGTTTCTGCATTATTATTGTTATCGTTTATGTGCTGCTGTTGTTGCTGGTGTTTCTGTATTATTGTTATTGTTTATGTGCTGTTGTTGTTGTTGCTGGTGTTTCTCCATTATTGTTATCGTTTATGTGCTGTTGTTGTTGCTGGTGTTTCTGCATTATTGTTGTTATTGTTTATGTGCTGTTGTTGTTGCTGGTGTTTCTGCATTATTGTTGTTATTGTTTATGTGCTGTTGTTGTTGTTGCTGGTGTTTCTGTATTATTGTTGTCGTTGCGGCTACAGACGACCGAAGGCAGCTCCCGCGCACGTGAACGCCCGCCGGAGCCTCACACGCAATCGCTACGCCGCTCTGCAGCCGAGGCGTCAAAGCAGAGTAAATAAAACAATATGATCTCCGCCGGTTTAATGATTGCAAGCGGTCCAATTCGTCTCCGCGACGGCAGGAAACACCGGCCTAGAAGTGGACCGTGGCGGGAGCCGCTGCTGCCGCTGTCGCCGATACCACCACCGCCGCTGCCGCCGGTTAAACCGTAGCTGTGAGATTCATTTTTCCTGTGTATAATGTTATTGTTGTTGTTCCCCCCCCCCCGACTCCTACCTCCCCCACACTGCGCGACTATCGCCGGCATCGCACGAGACGAAGAACCCATCGGGATCTCTCACAGCGGAGCGGCGCGTGTCACTCCGTACACGTGAGGCAGCGGCCCTTCAAATGACCTCTGGTCCCCACACACCCCCCCCCACCGCCCGGCCCATGCCTCAAGAGTGATGTTTCATGGCGTGACGATCAAAACCGATATTTAATTCTCACAGATGGGATTGTAGCCAATTTAGGTGCAGAAGTAGATTTAATGTGGTGGGGTTAATTTGTGTGTATGTGTGCACGCGGTCACAAAGGCGGGCGGGCGTGGTGCTGGCCGCCCACCCCCTCATGTACCGTGCCGGCCTTCATCGGTGCTCAGCAAGAGCACTTGCCGCAACAGTCTGTTTAGGCTATACGGGGGATCTTCGCCTTTGTCTTTCCATCACCGGGTGACCACATTGAGAACTGGGGACCGCGATGCACGACACTTGAGAATCCAGTTTAATCACAGGCGGCTGCTCGGATTAAAAACCCAGGGCAGCCGTGAAAATTGTAAAGACGTTTCTGAGGAGGGGGGGGGGCGGCAAAGCCGGCCCGTCCCAACCCCCCCCCCCCCCCCCACTTTGGCGTGGCAGACTCCGGCACCGCGGCTCAAATTTAGGTCAGACCCCACGATGCATGCGCAGAGCCAGTGTTTGTGAAATTGCATCAAATTTGCCATAAACCCACGTCACCGCAATCCCCGTGACACATAATTACACGGCCGCGAGGGTGGGTTTGATGGGACGGGGGGTGGGGAGCGTGGGAGGAAAAGGGGGGCGATAGCTTTGAAACCCCGGGCTCCCCAACCCCCCACTCCCCCCCACCCTCCACTCAGCTGCGTGCATTGTAATGGGGAGTTAGGGTCTGCCTGAAGCGCATGTTGATTACATGGCAGTGTTGTTTCCCCTTCTGCGAAGACAAATAAGAATAAAATTACAATCGCCAGGGGACGTGCAGCAGCTACTCGGGTGAAAATTGATTTGCTTAAAGGCCATTATCTTTTTTCTTCCCTTCCTCCAAAACAGATGAAGTAATCTGGACGAAGCAGGCCGTCTCCGGACGGAGCTCACGTCACCATCGCCCATGTACGTTCTTCGCCTTCCCCCATTACTCACTCCGCGCGTTCCGTGTTTCAGAGACGGCGAATCGGTGCGCTTCCATCACCGGGCACACCTCGCCGACCGGCTCGCTCGCGGCTGCCACCAATTACCACGGCCCCCCCGCTCGCCGAGCGACGACTGCCGCGGCACTCGCCGCACCTCCACCCCCCACTCTTCTCCCCCCCCCCCCCACCCCCCCCCGGGAGGAGACGCCACGGCAACCGAGCAGCGGGACTCTCGGATACCCGCCCCTGCCGCCCCGACGCGGGGCGCCGCCGGCGCCCGACGTTGCCAAGGAGCTCACGGCGTGGAGATGCCGGACGTACGTACGGACGGAGAGACAGACGGACAAACACCTTGTCGGCCCTCGTGCGTTCTCTCTGGCTGTCCGCATGTAAGTCACGGAGTCACATGGACAGAGCGGCTGGGGCACGCTGCTGGCGGCCGCCACGCTACACTTCTCCTCGAAGGTTTTGTCGACGAACACAAGGGGGGCGGGAATTCCGGCGATGGCAGGAGGGAAGGCCCGAAGCCCCACCGCAGGGTGAATGCACGGAGAGCCTTGTTTACAAAACCAGTCAATAGATAGATAAACCGCCCCTGCCGGCAGCATCCCCCCTCTAGCCCAGGAACGTTGCAAATGACCCGCCACCCCTCCACCCCTGTACATGTACAGCCCCGGTGGTGTTAGCGGTGGTTGTTTGGGTGGTGATGGTTGCTTAGGTTATTATGGCAGCGGCGGTTTACATGGTGGTGGTGATAGTTGTGATGAATTAGATGCTCGTGGTTGTTGTTTATGTTTGCCGTGGTTGGTGGGCCGTACCCTCTCCTCGTAGGCTCACTCGACGCCACGCTCCGCCGATCCAGGTGCCGCGGTTTCTCCACCTCCCACTGCAGCAACCAGGGGGATGGGGGGATGGGGGGAAGGGAGGAGGGAGCAGAATGGGGGGGGAGTGCGGGGAGAGGGGCACATACACACTAGCGTGAGCACCCAAAGGCGGCCTGAGCTCAGCGGTGGGGCCGCGCGGGGTGGAGCTCTAGGTTGTGCTATTGAAGGAGGATGTGATCGAGGTGGAACCGCAGATGGTCGAGACCTAGGCAGTGGCGCTCTAGGAAGGCGGAGGTGTAAGAGGTGAAGACAAGAGGTGGTGGAATTGGAGATGGAAGGCGTCGATGTGGAACAGTAGGACGTGGAACTGAAGAAGGTGACACGTGGAGCTGGATCTGGAGGTGGTGTAGCTGTGGGAGATCGAGATGCAGGAGGTGGACTGGGAGGCGGTGGAGCTGAGGGTACTGGGATCGAGGTTCAAGAGCTGTAGCTGGAGCAGGAGGAGCGGCTGGAGGTGAAGCCACAGGGAGCCTCTCTGCGCCGGGGATGGATTTGCAGGACTACAGTTGTGTTGGTGGCATCACTGCCGTCAACGGTGGCTCAATTCACTCAGCTCCACCAAGAAATCTCTTCCACCACTGCCTCCGACGTGGACGGCGACTTACAAGACTCGTGCCGTTTCCCGGCCAGCCGCTCGCCCTGGCTCAAGAGGCGCAGCAATTTAAACCCCCATGGCAGCTGCGGCTTCGCTGTGACCTACGACCCTGCCTGCGGCATCAAGCCCAACGGCGCCCGTGACCCTTGCCCTTGACCCTGACCGCGATCGTCTAGACAGGCTTGGTCGGCGAGGTTGTGCCGGAGGCCGTTCTGCGGGAGACAGCCTTCACAAAAACCCACGGCAGCTTTCAAAATCACGAGCGCATGACCAAGCGGTGCAGCGGACACATGTAGGCCCACAGACACATAGCCGAAAAGTGGCAAAACACAGAGACTGCGACACGTGGTTAATGAGCAACATAATGCAAAGAGGACGCTTAAAATGTGCAGAGGCTTTCCCAACGGGCAATCTCGTAACGAGACGACTCCACCAAACAAATCCTGTCCCCTTGTTCCTGCGCACATAATCCATTTATCAGACCCACGCTCTTCATCCAATCCACCCAAACCCCCCTCCATTTTTAACGATTGTGCCGCTAATTTATTGATGACGTAAAAATGTCAGGGCAGCACTGATTTAGCGGCGCAGGCCCGACTTGTCCACCGCGATCGGCGGGATGGGCGAACATTTCCAGACAAGCTGTTTCATTTGTCACGGGTGGCTCGACGCGTCACTCCGTCCGTGCGCTCGGGACGCAGGCACAGCACGGCTTTGTCGGAAATCGGAACGAAGTCAACAAAAAAAAAAAAGCTTCCGCGTTCCATTCCTCCGTTTTGTCCCGAATCAGGCCGTCTGCTAGGCTCGCTCACGAGACGAACCGAACAAAACGAAAGCCAAAGGAACAATCGACTGTGCGGTCGAGTCACAGGGCCCGCGCTTTGGATCAAAAAGAATCGCAACCACTCGGCCACTACTCACACCTCTTCCACCCCACCCCCACCGCCGATGCTCGCATCGCCTGCCGCGTCATGCAGAGAGAGGCACGGACACCAACGGCCGACGCGTTTGTGAATTATTCATTAAAATAACAAATGTTCCACAATAGGGCATTAATTTGTCAGTTCATATTTCCCGGGTCGACACGGCCATGGCAAGAGAGGTATACATGTGATATGGAGGGTGTGGAAATATTTTGCGGGGTCGCCCTCCCATAAAGACTCTGCTGAAACTAAGCCCTGACCTTAACAATCCTCTATCATTAACATAATACAAATTATGAAATACATTAAATTAGAAAATTTGCACATGTGAAAAGAGTGTTCAGAGGTCAATTCAACGTGTTGGCAAAGGTCACTTTTCATCAAAGTGTTTTTGGCGTAAAACGCGACCATGTGTCCATCGGCAACAACAGCAGCAGCAGCAGCAGTGGGTTAGATCCCCAGAGGCTAGTGCTAGGCCGCATTTCGGTTGCTCTGTCGAGACACGAAATCGTGGCCTGCGAGTCCTCGCGCCGTGCCTGGCACGCACGCACGAAGTCACCGACGGCCCCTTTAGAGGAGCACTGTTAGTCACGGCCTCGCGAGACGGACGTGGCGTGAGGATAATGACACACGAAATTACATTCGCATTTAGACGCCGGGTTAGCGGGAGACGCAGCGCATTTCACGGAGCACTCAACCATCGCCACGCGACACGCGGACACACAGAACCATGTGCTCACGCACACAATTACTGTCTGTGGAGGGAGGGCAGTGCAGCTGTGTGCAATATTCCACAGCCAAGAGCGATGCTTGGTACGCTATGTGCAAAGGTTGCACGTAGAAGGAGACTTGATGATGATGCAGGCAGTGATGAGAAGGAAACTGGCACTCTTTGGACACACGTGTAGGATGGACAACAACTGGAAAATTAAAAGTGTGTTGTTGTTCGGAATAATTGAAAGAACCAGAAAGAGAGGAAGACCCAACAGAGAATGGCTTGAGGACGACATCACGAGAGATTGTTGGCAGAAGGATGTAGCACTACTTGAGCATATTGGCACAAGACAGACCAAATGTGCAGTGGACACCTACGATGGGCTAACTGCCCATGTACAGTGATGATGACAGGGCAAGTTGTTCCTAAGCTGCGGTCCATGGAACACCGGTGATCAGAAATCCAGCGGAAGTTGCCCGCGGAACTGGTGCAGATACGGCGATTCAATTAATTCTGGAAAATGCGTGATTGGCGCGTGGTGGTTCGCGACATAGTTTCTGAGGACTGACGGGGATCCGTGGGTTCGGAAAGGTTGGGAACCACTGCTACAAGCTGCATCTAAGTGCTGCACGCTGTAGGTTGCAGCTTTGAGCGGCATACAGTCAGGCAGGGACTTTTGACTCAGTTTATGTGGATGGGCCATGTAAAATTAGCGTGTGCTGGTGGTCCAGGAATGCCACAGATCTCAGTGGGCTGCAGCTCGGTGGGCCACTCCATGAGTCTCAGTGGGCCACATCTGGCACTTGGGCAGCCACTGAGACAAAAGCTCAAGAGATCCGTCAATAACATACATTCATAAAAATCCAGCAACGTTTCGGGTAATGGCCCTTCTTCATAACGAACCTGGAGACACGTTAATTTGTTTAACCCGTGTGTGAACTCAAGGCAGCGGGACGAATCCCATTTTGCAAGAGTGACCTGGGCCACTAAAATGACAAAAGCAATGAGATAAAAACCCGGAAAGCAAATAGAAATCGGTGCAAAAACAACCACGTGGCAGAAGGAGGGGGAGGAGAAAATACTCGAGTGGGGTAAAAGCGCCGCGTGTGTGCGTGTGCATCACCCGCTGCGCAAGAGAGCGCTCGTCCATTATCCGCTCGTCACGAACGTGCAAAGGTAAAAAAATAATGAATTATTATTAATTTATTTTTTAAAGAAGTTCCACACACCTAAACCGCTGGCTGCACACCCAGGGACTTCCCTAATCCTGCAAAACCACGCGCAGTTTTTATTTTCATCGCGAAGCGCCTGCGGTGTGGGAAGGGGGGGGCACGGTGGGGGAGGAAGGGGTCGCGGTAGGGGGGGTTGTGGGGGGAGACCCCGTCAAAGCGGACGCAGTTGCAGCCTCGGCCGACCAAGACGGCGGTGGGATTTGAGGCAATTTAGGGAATGATCGACGCTCTTGTTTATTAATAAAGCCCAGGCGCCAGAGACTTCACAGGACCTCGCCACTCACCGCCGTGATTAATGTTTTAAACGGTGTCACTAACTAGCCCAAATTACAATATCACATTTTATTTGATTACAGGCACCGTCATGTTAATTTAACGATGCGTCACACACGCCGGCGTAATAAACCCGCGTAAACACCTCCCCTGAGTGCATAAAACTAAAATAATTTTACCTGCTCTCGACGCTCGTCAAAGCACTCAACGTCAGCGCGTGGCGGCACTGCGGCGGCAAGGGGGAGGGGGGGGTGCACGGCGAGGGAGGAGATGGAGCGCGGTCTCCCCGATGACCCAACCCGGCTCATCCAGGTTCCATCAGACCCATCGCTAACAATCCCCCCCGCCCCCCCGATCATTTAGGTAGGGGGGGAGGGGGGGTAGGAAATGTTCTCCCCATTCCCGACCGCTGCTCGCCGTCTACTTTTTCAGGATATTAGGAGCCACAGGTCCAATGTGGTTGGCGTGGAATTAAATGAGGGGGTAGCTGTCTTCCAATTCTCTCCACATTCCCTCCCACCCCCCCTATCATCTCTTTGTAGCCCAGTGCCTGGGCCCCTCTGCTCGTGGTGGGCACCGGTGCAGTTGCACCGCCTGCACAGTCGACTGCCACGCCACTGCCTTTTATTTTATTCACCCTCATCGCCAACGAACCCTCGAGCTGCCACGCCGCGGGATCCCTAATTACAGGCGGGTGTTCCGGGTGTGCTCGGTGTGGGGGGGCCTGAATAGAACTGGGAGGGGGCGGTTGTGGGGGGGGGGCGGTGGTGGGGGAGGTCTGGAGGGGGGAGGGGGGGTCTGGGAGCCCGAGTGGAGTGCGTGTATTTGTCGTGGGCGAGCGCCGGGGATCCATCGCGACCGCTTCGACGACAACGACGACCGCCGGCGCTCTCGACCTCACTTTCGGTCACGCCCGCAGCTCGCTCCCCGGGCGACGCACTGCCGCTCTGTCGGCGGAGGGGTGGGCCGAGCGCCGCGCACGGCGGTTTGGAGATTTCCCGACGGCGCCAATGAACATACACTGTCGATTATTTATTTATTTGGGTTTTAACACGGGGAGCGGGAGGTCGTTAAAATCCGAATATCTGTCGCGTTCACAACACACGTCACCTTTATATTTAAAAAATGAGGCGCAGAGAGGGACACACAGAGGGAGGTGTGCGGGGAGGGGGGGGCGCAGTGAGGGAGGAGGGGTGAAGATATACAGACAGCAATATCAAAGACAGAGATGGAGGTAAGAGATCAGAGGGAGAGGAGAAGCCAGGGACACGCGA